GAAATGCTAAAAAGTCCAACACATCCAACGAAGAGTTTAAGCTGTTACTCCTCAAGAAAGGCAGTCGTTCAGATTCCAGTTACCGCATGTCTGCTACTGAGATCCTGAAGAGTCCCATCCTACCTAAACCTCCTGGGGAGCTCACAGCTGAGTCCCCACAAAGCACCCATGAGGTCCATCAGGGGGTACCTGGGGCCGAGGCATTGTCCCCACTCTCTCCATGCTCCCCAAGAGTAAATGCAGAAGGGTTTTCCTCGAAGAACTTTGCCACCTCAGCATCATCAAGGGTTGGACGTTCCCGGGCTCCCCCTGTGGCCAGTAGCAGCCGCTACAGTGTCCGCTGCAGGCTGTACAACGCGCCCATGCAGGCCATCTCTGAGGGCGAGACAGAAAATTCTGATGGGAGCCCACATGATGACCGATCCTCCCAGAGCTCAACATAGGTGTTCTGTGCCAGGCTGGCTGTCAAAGGCGAATACCCTTAGTCATATGAGGATGGGGGAATAGAACAGAAAGTTAGGGAGAAGTCAGCACATCATGGGGTACCATCACTTACTACCAATGAATTTCTAAATATTTGCTGGGGAAACAAAAGGTGGTTTGGTCTTTCTTGATTATTTTCCATGTTTTTAAGTAGCTGCACTGTCTTTCATATTTTCCTTTAGCTTAGTTTGATTTACCCAATGCCATTCCTTTTGATAATATAGGATTTTAAAATGTCCGCTTTTCATGAAACCTAGAAAAAAAGTTTTCCCAGAGCTGCCTATTCAGAAAACAACCCTCACTGTCATAATTCTTAAGAAGATGAAATTACTCTGGAGGTTTGGTATTTTTTTACATTAAAATGAACTAAAGCAAAATTTAGAAGAAAGAACTACACACATGTAAATACCATATTTTTGATAAAAATGTGTAAATAGATTTATCAATGACGAGTGGACATGTGGCAAATTATCTACTGCACACCAACTGTTTATACAACACAACAGATAAAGTGTAATAATTGTATTCTGTGAATACCATTTTCATATCAAATACCATATTTAAATGTCCACCAATATGATTTCTAAGTGATAAACCTCATATATGAATTTTAAACTGGTGAAATAAAGGAAATCTTGAGGTCATATACTGAAATGTGATTAATTTAAACCAATGAATTCAGACCTAACCATTTTTGTGACAAATTGCAGCACCAAACAAGCTAATAGTAGTAATCATATGGCTATGATTTGCCATGTGGAAATTTGGACAGAATGAAAAGCATGCTTTTGATTTTTTTAATCAATGAGAGAAATTATCATTGTCAACACAAAGCCCTGAACAACAGCATTTGACGGTATCCTTTAAACTTTAATTTGTCAGTGGATTGCTTTAAAGAGAATGAGTAGGGAAAGCTAGTTAATTTTAGGTTATGTTTTATATTAGGCTACTGGGGACATAAACAGTCATAATCTGATTACTATAATCCTAAAACTCCTTAAACAGTCTAGCAATTAGCTCCAGGTTCTTTAACTAACAAAAATAAAACATAAGCATGCCACAGAGCTGTTGATTTAGCAGTGAATACCTGCAGTGAGTTTTCAGTGAAGCTTCTTTCCGTGCTGATGAGATTCGTGCTACCTAAAAATTAACAGAGATGACACTGTGAACAATGTAGTTGGGAAATAGGTATGCATATATGCATTATTTATATTCACTGTTAAGCTGGGAATGGGGAACAGCTCTGATTCACAATGCTACATGCAACTGAGTTTTTGTCTGATTTTATTATATCTGCTTGATGGCAAAAGGGGAAGGGTGGTGGGTGGGAAAGGAAATGTCAGGCAAGTGCTCTGATAAAATGAAGGCAGGGAAACAAGCTGAATTACTTGAAATTACTTGAATTTTCTTGTCTTAAAACTGAAAAGAAAATGTAGTTACAAGTTTAAATCTGCAAATAGTTTTTACACCTCTGATTTTGACATGAACTGATGCTAATGTTTGAAATATGTCAGAAATATAGGCAGTTATGTACTTAGAATATGTTTTTAATGGGAGAAGGTAGAAAATGGAGAGAACTAAAGAGGGAGATTGCCTATAAAAGAATAGAATGCAATTAGAATGATAGAACATGCCAGAGTTACCAAGAAATTGATATGCAGCTGGCTTTAAGCTTATGCAAGTGGTATTTGGGAAAGTAGGATGTGTGAAAGGGGGGTTGTGGTTTTGATTTAATTCATGCAAAATGAAGGAGAAAGCCTGGTCTAAGAACATGCTGTCTTTCAAAAGAAACACTTTCTAAGATGTTACAGATTGAGAATTAGAGAATCTGATTGTAGTTGGGTTGTTTCTTTGTTTGTTTGTCTGGAAAGAAAAAATAAGTCTGGCTTCTACTATTTGTTTTCACTATCAAATTGTGTTTCTTAATTTCTCGTCATCCTTGTATGTAAAATGGGTGCTGAGGGTGGCGGGGTAGAGGAGGGAGAATGTGTGTATGTGTGTGCACATGTGTGCACTCGCACACTCTTGTGCTGGGATAGATAAGCTACCTGGTAAAGGGTACATTTGAACATTTACGAAGTGTTATACTTTTTATTAAAAGAAAAATATTTGGGGGTTTGCAAAACAGACCATCATTTCTCATTGGAACCCATTAGTTAAGAAAACCAGCATGGTTTGACGCCACATGGAAACATGAATATCTTTTTCTCATGCTTTGAAAAGTACACTTGGCAAAATTTTAAAAATAAAGTTTTTAGACAAATGTGATAAGAAACAGTCATTTCCAGTCACAATAGGTGATCTTTTGTAATTTTCATAAAAGCAGTTCGTTTGCAGTATGGCTTTGTGTAGTTAGGGGTTTTTAAACGTAAAGGTATGTGGGCTTTAAAAGTGATTCTAAATCTTGAATAGAAAACATGATTGGCTTTAATAAATGTCACCTTTTTATTATTGACATTAATTTAAGTAATGGTACCATGTATATTTTAAAATACATATTGACTTGAATTGTGAGGCAATAAAATACCTTCTGTATGTAATGATCATGGAACTAACCCTTATAGTTTTACTTATTTTGTTTACTCTAAAAATCTATAGCAGAGTTTCTCTATTTTATATTTCATAGATTTAAAAAAAACCCAAATAAAAATGGATTTTAAATTCACTGTGGAAAAGAATATTGAGTAACAAACTGAGTTAAAAAAAAACACCAAGGAATTCCTTCGTAATGTGGAATATTCTACATGGCTTTATTACATAGCATATAAGACCAAGATTTAGAGGACTGTTTTCAACATCACTGCCATCTTAAAGCAGGGTACACACATTAGGTATTGCAAAAAACATCAATCCAAACTTATCTTCCGTTGTTTGCACTGATGGTATTTTTTTTTTTAATGTTTGTACAACATGTCTATGTTGTGTGGGAGAAATATTTTTCCTTTTTGATTTTTTTTAATGTTTGGCTAAGTAGAGGACATGGACTAGTTATAGCAAACAAAACACACTGTTTGCTCTTGCCAAAGGTCAGTGAGTGAGTACATTAGCTACAATGGTGGCTGACTTAGAAAACTAGATCATGACAAAGATTTAAAACTATAAAGAAGGTTACAGTGTAACTATTTCGGTACTAGAACCAGTTCATGCTGGCCAAAAAGACAATGGTTTATGGACTTGCATCCATTTTGTATTTTTGTAATATTGTAAATATGAACTTTTTAAATTGTTGCAAAAACGGTTTCTTTTGTAAGTTTTCAACGTTTACATTCAATTCAAGCCTTTGTATATTTTAGAGCTGTGCAACACTTTTAAGTCTTGTATTTATTTTTAGTAAAAATGGTGACAGTTTTATCGTGAACCCCTCTCAAAAAAATGTACCAGGAAAGTTTGATTACCTAGGACGTGTGTATAGAAACTGCAAATAAACGTGACTGCAATTAAACAACCGGTTTCTCGCTTCATTGTTACATAATTGCATTCTTGGGGTTTCCCAAACACATGAGTTTTACAGGGAAATGGACATAAAAGAGGGGAACTGCTATGGCAAAAGTATGAACAAAATAATAATAATAATAAATATTGTCTCTATAATGGGCTGTAATCTAGCTTTGTATTTGAGAGGAGAAAGAACATGTTTCCAATGTTGGATATACTTTCCTTGTAGCTCTTCTCTCTGAGCCAGGAAAAGATAACTGACTTGACCTTGAAATATTTGCCTTTGCTTTTCATAAGTACTCAGACTGTGCCTTCTTTCCAAGATGCTCAGCCTCGAGAGAGATATAGATAATATGCCACTAAATAATGTCATGTACCCTTTATCATACAGCAAATTAATGTACAAAAATACTGTTCTACGTGCTTTGCTTACTCTAATTCGTGTACTCCCCACACTCTGCCCATTTTACAGATGGGGAAACTAAAGCAGAGTGTTACTTAACTTGCCCGAAGCCATAGAGCATCTAAGTGTTGGGGTTGGGGTTGCAACCCAGAAAACCCGGCCCCAGGGGTCTGTTAGTAGCAAACCAGGATTGCTAAAACGGATTGCTGAGGCCCCGCCCTCTTCCCCAGTACCAAAGAGCACACCTAGGACCCACTCAAAATCGAAGTCTGCGGTGCCGCTTTAGAGGGAGGGGGAGGAGCGGAATTATATTAAAAAGAAAGCTTCAAACAACCAATCAGTGACAGTAGAGAGGCCAAGCGCCTAAATGCCACGCCCACACGAGCCACCTGCAAGAATCCTCACAGCGCGGAAACTGTCACGTGCGCGCGAGCGCCGACACCCCTGTTCGTCCACAGAAACCCCTTCAGTATCGCAGGATCGCGCGTGCGGTGTAGCGCCGGATTCCTATCCCACCAGCCTCTGCGAACGGAAACTCGGGACGCTAGCACTGGGGCTGCGCGGAGGGGAGGAAAGCCCCTTCCCTCACACGTCTCCCTAGCAACGCCCTGCGCCATAAGGGTTGCGCATGCGCTCTCGGGATTACTAGATAAACAGCCGCTCGCCTGGAAGCCTTTGCGCTGCGGGTGGTCCCTGGTTCGCGCGCCGGTCCTTAGCTTGCGTGGGGCGCCCGGCCGGACGTCACGTCATCCGGCTCGACTTCCGGTGCGACCTCGAGCGGTCGAAAGGGTCTTCGCCGTCGACGCTCAGGAAGACCGTCCACCGCTAGCTGGTGCCCGCGTTTTCCGGAGGCTCGTTCTGACAGGATTTGAAGAGGTTTGTCCTTCGGCATTTTTCTCGCTGCTTGAATTTTCTTGTCTTGGGTGTGGGCGAAAAGTAGTTGGGAGATTTTAATGTCTGAGGAATTCCGGGGAGCAGGGTGGGGTGGGGGATGATTTACCTGAGAGAAAGAATTTTCTGGAAGAGGTCTACACTTAAATTTCAGCAGCGCTGTGGCGAGGCGGGGGTTGGGGGGCGGCGGCGGTGAGTCTGGATGGTTCTCGGTCTGGTTTTCCCCGATTCCCACAACCTCTCACGGATGACCGTGCTTTAGAGCTTTTGCGATTTGGCCACTTGTTGAGTAGTTGGTGCCGACTTTCGGGGATGAGTTGACCTTTTCTCATCGTTTTTATTTTTCTTGGCAGAGGTGGGTGGGGGACAAGAATCGACCAAAAATCTCGGTGTCTGCCTGTGTTTGTCTCTCGCTCTCTCTCCCCCTCCCTCCCTCTGTCCCCCTCACAGTTTCTCTCTCTCTCATCTGTCCCCCTCACAGTCTCAGTCTCTCTCTCTCTCTCTCTCTCTCTCTCTCTCATATATGTGTGTGTATAAAATTTTGTGTTTAAGGAACTGAAAAAATAGTTATAACATCTTTTGAGATTGTGATGTTGTTTTTGAGGCTTTGATGGTAAATGCGTTTGATCAAAGATAATGCAGCCTCGCCAAGGAGCAAGAAAATAAAGACCCAGGTTGAGCACGGTCGTTTAATAACTTAGTCTGTTAGGGATCGCTTCCTTCCCTCCCTGCCCGGCTCTCCCGGAATTAGGACTGCTCTAGGGTTTGAAACTGGTTTAATGTTTATAAATCATGATTTTTGCAGGCAACTTTTCTGTTTTTATAAAGCAGGGTTATGGGTTTGATTCAGTGCGAGGCAATGGGGCACGTTTTGGGTAACATTGTCCGCCATCTGGCTTATTTTATAATCTCTGGAGTTTCATAGGGACAGTAGTAGAAGCGCTGCTTTTGCGAGACCTGATAGGAGTTTTATAAAGTAATTGTTCAGTATATTAACACACAGTTTTATTTTCTCAAAAAAGAAAACGTTGAAGTGGCCTGGCTGTTGTAATCTTTCCTGTTTTGCTGTGTATTCCTTGCAGTTTGTTTTTGGGTGAAAGGCTGTTTTCATTCCTCACCGTCCTGATAAGTTGATGACAAGTGAATGCCTTGTACCTTGGGAGCGTAATATTGAAATGACTTTTGAAAAATGTCCTTGAAATGTTCTTGAAGTCTAAAAATGTTTTCTAAAAACCAGATGGCTTTTAGGTCTTACATTATCAAGAATTTAGATTTTTACTATAAAATATGAATGAGCTTCATTTTATGTAAACATTTTGCAAGATTTTAAATTTAACGATTTATATTAATTTTGCCAAATCTAGTCATGATTGGGCTGTAAGAAACTGTTGCATAAACTTTCATTATCTACTTCGTGGGAAGAAGCAAAAGGGAAAGTTTGTGCTGTGCCTGCTATGAACCAAACACAATGCTGGGTGCTTAACTGTGTCATTTGGTCTTCATAGCCCTGTGAAGTAGATATTATTCCAACTATACAGGTTAAGAAATTGAGGCACAGAGAGGTGAAATACATCCCTAAAGTAAAATGGAAAATTTTGCAATTTGTCCTTAGATTTGAGTATTTCTTAAAGCCCAGTTTTTCGTGCATGGTACTTCAGATTTGCTTAGAAGAAATGGTTGTTATATCTGCAGTGTCCTGGTGCAAAATGACTCAGATTTACATGTTATGACCCTGAGGATTTGTTGCACCTGTGCTCCATGAGGGATAGTTCTGTTGGGAGGATGTTATGAATACCCAGATAATAATAGTAGACAACAGTGGGTGCCCTTGCTATGCCAGTCATTGTTCTAAGCACTTAACTCTTTTAATCCTCATAACTCCATGAAGTTGGAACTATTATCCCCATTTAAAAGGATTTTTTACAATACAGAGACATTCAGTAAGTTGTCCAAAGTCACACAGCTAGGAGGTGGAGGAGCTTGGACCCAGACCCAATGGTACTTGAGGTTGCCTCTCATCTAACTACTCAGTGTTTGACAGTTGCCTTAAGAGCATTGAAGTATGAGTGCTCCGTACTGGGGAAAGCAGTGTAACTTCCAGGTGGGGTAACATAGCACCTCTGCTTTGTGGAGATGGAACCTGAATTAAGCCTTGAAATCGAATAGGTTCTCCCAGGAAAAATGGCAGGATATTTGGGCAGAGGGCATAACAGAAGTAAGAGGTTCAGAGTGTAAGATTGGTGTTGATTTGTGAATGGGCCACAGAGGTAAAAATTGAGTGGTAGAGTCAATGCTTGCTGCCTCTGTGTTTAGCTACAGCCAAATTTTTGCAGCATTATAACTATACAGTAAGGGATTGTCAGGTTGTAAGGGTCTCTAACACTGGTTGGCAGTCTTTGTCTATGGAAGGCCAGATAGTCAATATTTTAGGCTTAGAGCCAGGCGACAAGTGGTAAGAGGTGACCTCCTGAGAGGTCTGGAGGCTTCTCACTGTGCTTTTGTAAGGACCTTGTGGGCCTTAATAGGAGTTTGGGTTTTATATTTTTATTATTAGAGAACGGATTTCATGTGATTTGAATAATGAAGACTACGTAAGGCACATAGTGTGGTGCAGTCTGGCTCCAGTCTTACTAGCTATACCTGGGTAAATTATTTAAACTTTCTTTGCCTCAGATTTCTCTTAAGGAAAATGGGAATACTTATAAAACCTGCCCTGTAGGGTTGTCAGGAATACTAAATCAGTTAAGACATCTGGTGCTTATAACATTGCCTGGCAGAGTAAATAGTAAAATACATTTTAGATACTATTATCTGTACCTTGTGTTATATTCCAAATTTTTTATAGTGAAACTATACTTAATGAAAAAATATATCTCTAAATCTATAATACAAAACTGTTATAAATATAGTGAGAGTATAAAATACTATTAGAGTTGGGAAATTTTAACTCACTATTCTCATTCTCTGAGACTTGAGGTAGAGGTATGAGATTGCTCTGCAGTGTTCTGTGTAAGAACCAAATTTTAGAAGTGATTTGAACATCCATTAATAGTGACTGGTTAAATGAATTATGGCTGGCTGCGTGGTAGGAAACTAAGAAAGTTGTTAAAGTGACTTTAGTATATCTACAAGTATTGGTTTTGAAATTCTCCTATTATTGATTGCTTTTGCCTGTTTTCAAGCTTTAGAGCAATTGAATCATGCACTATATTCTCTTTTGTATCTGGCTTTTACTTAATGTTACAGTTGTGCAATTTGTCCTGTTTGTGTATAGCAGTAGTTAATTTATTCTCATTGTTGTGTAGTCTTCCTCTGTCCAAAACACCACAGTTTAATTGTTCATAGTTTGTATTAGTCTCATAATCAGGAAAAATACACATAATCTAAAACTAAAATTTGGTTGAAGTTACAGCTCAGATTGAATGTATTTTATAACTTGAATTTTTCTACAGTATTAACCTGCATTTATCTTGAATTAACTTGAGAATTAATTCTCCCTTCATCCTGAGTGTCATTACTACCCTCGCTCAGGATGGATGGAGGGACTTAACACTCTCACACCCCTTCTAATACCATGATGACAGTCACGGTTCAAATCCCTACTAGAAGATATAATATGATGGCATTGCATTCCATGTCTTTTCTAGTTGCAGAGTTAAATGACCCAGAACCATAACTGAGCCTACATAATTCTAGAAGATTTTTAGCTTATATTTTATATACATTTATTTAGGTTTAATATAAAATTTAACTATGGAAGCAATCATAATCTTAGAGCTGAAATGGCCTTAGGTATAATCTCAGCCAGTTTTCACCTGGCAAATGAGGCAGTGTCTTGAGTGGTCTGCTCAGCCCACGGCCTGGTTGGGGCCCAAGCTGTAACAAACTCCAGCCTTACATTTTGAGGCCTGTTGGGGTTCCTTGGCAAAAGCAGTTAGGAATCTTGTTCTCTTGTTTTCAGTATTTATTCTGTAGCCTTAAAATTGTGAAGCATTCACTTCACAATTTGGAAATGAGTTTGCTCTTGATCCTTGTTCCTACACATGGGCAATATAGCCCTTCAAGTTTAAAAGGTTTTTCCTAAATCATGAACGGAGAATTTCTAAAATTCAACCAAGACTCCAATTCAATTTGTGTTGGCATTGTGAGAATATAGCCATGCTAAGTTTATTAAAGTAATGTATAAAGTAACTTTTTTATGCGTTGCTTTTCAGGAGTAGAAGGTTTACCAGTCCTAGGTGACCAAGCAGTTTCACAAATAAACCCTCCAACGAGTTTAAAAATAATTAGGCCTACCCCAGAGAAGTGGAGTTGATCCTGTTGCACAAAGATGTCTAGCTGCTCCAGTGAAGTCGATGTGGTTTGTATTTCAAATTGAAAAAAATCTGCCATTGTCCTTTTCATTGTGCTATATTTCTTTTCTAAATTGAATTTAATTTCACATAGTGGAATGCAGAGATCCTAAGTGTACAGTTCATGAGTTTTGACAGGATCTATAAAGCTGTTATGAACATTCATGTACAAGTGTTTTTGTGAACAGATACTGATACTTCTTTTGGGCAAATGCTCAGGAGTTGAATTGCTGGGTCATAGGGTTGATGTAATTATAACTTTGAGAATCTACCAGTTTTTAAAAATGGTTGTGGTGTTCTACATTCTGTCACACTCTGTTTCTTGATCCCCAAAGTTGAATAAAAATATAGATTTTTAAGCTACATATAATTTGACTTAATAGAAAACATATTACTTATATATGGATGTAGCTATTACTACCACCTAAGTGGTATAGGCAATTTTTTAAACTTTTGTTAGTCGTAACATTTTTTGTCTTTGGAGATAATGTTTACTGCCTACAGAGAGTCATTTTTTCTGACATAATTATATGAAAGCACTTGGGAAAGCATAAGGCACTATACAAAAGTAAGGTGGTATATTTTTATAAGTTTTAATCTATAGCAATTCCATATCACTTTGGTTATAGCCTTTGAAACAGACATGCATAGCTTCAGAGTATCTATTTTAAAATTATTACTATAGTTCATAATTTTTTCTTAGAATAAAGAGTTGTTAAATGAAGTTTATTGGTTATTTACTATCTAAAGCATTCTAAAAAGTATTTTAAGGTGATTTAGAGATTAATTTATCCAAAAAAAGGCAAATGGATTGAGAAATACTGATTGATAGCTGCAAAATAGTCACAGGGCCATCAATAGATTACAGCATAGGAAATATAGTTAATAACATTGTAATAATTGTACGGTGCCAGTTGGATATGGGAAACATCAGTGGGAACACTTTGTAAAGTATATGATTGTCAAACCACTACACTGTACACCTGAAACTATTAGAAAGTAATATTAAATGTAAACTAATTGAAAAAATTTTAGTGCTCCTGAAAAGAAAAAGCAAAAAGAAAAGCCTTGGTGAAAAATTATGTAGAAATACGAAATACCTAGAATTTAAGATGTTTTATGATTGTTTTTTACTAGCAATAATTAACTTATGTGCTAATAATTAAAACAAATATTTGTTATTCAGGAAAAGAAAGGTTTAATAAAAATTAGAACAAAAAGAAATAGGTACTTAAGTATTTCCTGTTTTGTCCATAGAGTGGCACTGTTGGGTGGTTTAAAAATCAGAAGCCATGTAACATGGTTCTTGGTATTGAGAAATATTTGAAATATTTGCTGTTATAGCAGTTCTGGCACCAGATTACTAGTCTTTGTACCCTTAGATACACAAGAGGTGAAGCTTGATGAAAATGATGTCGTAAGTGTAGTTGGGTTAATGAGGAATCAGTTTTGCAAGTACATCTTTTTTGTAGTCATAGTATTTATTTACAATGAACATGAAGACTTTTGGAGTTTCTTGAAAGTGAAATTGAAGTCCTAAATTTTTCTGTCAGTTCCATCTTTCATGCTTCCTTTTAATTTATTAATCTTCCTTAGATAAGAACTCGAATATCTACTGGTGATGATGAGAACGGGGATCTTTATGCATATGAACCAAATCCTACATATGCAAATGTAAGTAATGTTAATTGCCATTTACCAAATACAGTAACATTTAACCATTTTAAAGGAAAATACTTAAAGTCTTCATGTCTTATAGAGCACCTCTAAACCACTGAAGAAAATACTACTCTCTTGTGAATTTGTTTGGCTCCTTTCATTAGACAATGAGCATTTAACCATTTTACTTCTCTCTTTTCCTTATGTAGTAGGAAATTGAGAGCAATACTCGTTTTCAGTACCAAACTCTAAACGTAGGTCGTTCTAATATAATAAATTATTTCCTTTCTCTCTTAATTAGCAGTAATTATTTCTATTATATTAATATTTTTCTTTTATTTCATCTCTGCTTTAGATTAAGACTTCTGAAACTGAAAAGTTGGTGAAAAATCAAAACAATTTAAATACATAAATATAAAGTGTTTTTAAATAAATAAATATAAAGTGTTTTTATCCTTATGTTCAGTTTGGCTCTTACAGAAGTAAACCATTAATACTTAACATTTAAAATCTTAGCAGCAAAGTGTTCAGTCTGACACATCCTACGAAGAACAACAAAAAACAATTGTGGATGTCCTGAGTCGTTGCCAGGTACAAAAGTTCTGTCTGTCAAATGTAGTTTTCTAAAACACTAAGCTGAAAATCTCTTTATCTCATATGAAGTATACAATTAATTGAAGTTTTGCTGTATTAAATTATTTATGATTATCACCCCATTGTGATCATTTTTAAAAATTTCTAGTTTGAATAGCATCTCCAGGTGAAAATTTCAAAGTAGTAATATGTAGATTTTATAAATTTTTTTTTAAAAAAGCCCTTTATTGATCAAATGTAGTTGTGTCTTTTTCATCTCAGTTATTCAGTATTGAATTAATTTTCCCAGCAAAATTTCCGAAATAAATTGGCTGATTTGTATGAAATTTAGTATGTACCTAAATGCATACAAAGATACCTCAGTTGAAACAAAATGGCAGCCAACCACTATTTTTAAAAGAGTGTATCTTACATAGCTTTGAGGGGATTTTGTAAAAATTAGCATGTTGGTAGAGCTTGATAGAAGCATGTAATTATCAAGGATTTTGTGAGCTGCATACCCTAGAGGTAATGAACATTTATTTAAAAAGTCAATGTTTCTTAATGTACCAAGTGTCCTGAATAAAATGAGCGAGCATCCTTTGAAAAGTACAGAATATTTATATGAGCCTTGATCATCATCATTACTGAGGACAGAAGTGGAATGCTTAAAGGGGACACATCAGGTCTCCTGAGGAAGATGTACAGAGGGTGGGCCATAGGGGGGAGGTCGAGGGTCCCGATACTGAGCAGGGCTATCTCTGGCCTGCCTTACATAGGCATCCATGACCACCTCGGTGCACACTGTTCTGCGAGAGCCTTCTGAGCACTTGTGCAGGGTGTGGTGGGATGTAGCATCTCGGATGAGAAATGCTCAGGCCCCGGGAGGGATCCAGTCTATTTCTCCTAGTGTGTTAGCTCTCTCCTTTCTTCAACGTCTTCCCTTACCAGTCCAGACCAGACCGCATGGTGCAGCACTTCCGTCTTGTCTTTTTTATCCTTGCCCAGCATCCTCTTTGGTAAAACCCCAGCCCTGTCCCTGCTGGGAAGCAGAGGGGAGGACCTCTGCTGGGACCTGTCCACCGTCTGGTCTGTAGGCAGCTCCCTGTCCCGCGAGCACCAGGCACCCCCATCCTTGCCTCTTGTTTAATGGAGGAAATGGAGGGCGTGGAGCAGAAATCCTCTGCGAGTCCAGATTCCTCTCCCCGCGGCCAACAGACGTGCCTGGGATCCATTCTTCTCCCGGCGTCTTGCTCTGTAAGGCTAACACCTCGGCCGGTTTCTGCTTCTGACCCTCTTTCCCTGTGCTCAGACTCCTCCCTTCATGGGTCATCCCTCTCTCTCCTGTATCTTCAGCCTCTGTGCCTGCCACTCTCGGCATATTCTCCCGTGGTTTTTAAAAAATCACGTTTAGCCTCCTGGCCCTCTTCCACTGTCATCCTTCCTCTCTCCTTCCCTTAATAACCCAGCTCTTTGAATGTGAGTTATGTTCACTATCTAAACACCTGACTTCCTGTTTGGAGTATGTTCGAATACACTGTTCTTTCTGCCCTGTATGCCCTTCCATGCGTCTTTACCTAGCGACCACCTTGTCTTTTAATTCTCAGCATAGACATTTGCTTCTCTGGAAAGACCTGCCAGCCTGCGTTAGATCTTTGTGTACACTTAGCCTCCTGTTCAGCCTCCTGTTCTTGCCTGTGCTGTGATAGTCATAATAGTGATATTAATATTAATAGACAGTTGAGCCCTATTGGACCAATCATCGTGTCGTATTGCTATTCTGTTAGTATGAACAGAATACCGCAGCCACCTTGCTCTGTCCCCCAGAGAACTCTGAGATTTTCATCATGATCCTCTACATGAGGACATTGAAGCACAGAGAAGTTAAGTAACTTGACCAAAGTCACAGAGCTACTAAGTGGCAGAACTCTACTACGTAAATCCTAGCTCTTTCCCCTAGAGCCCGCACTATTTATCTCAGTGCTATAGGCCAATCACTGGGTCTCACACTTGACGGGGCATCAGGATCACCTGGAGGGCTTGTGACAACACAGATTGCAGCCCCCACTCTTGAGTTCCCAATTCATTAGCTCTGGGGTGGGAGATGTTGCACTTCCAGCAAGCTAGTATTGATGCTACTGGTCCACAAGTGCACAGTTTGAGAACCACTGCTCCAGGCTGCTGGTTACTTTCTCTGTTGAAATCGTCTCTTGTCTCTCTCTCCAGCTAAAATAGGAGTTCCTTAGGACAGGAGCTGGTTGGGGTTTGTTTTTGGTTCCTTTCCGTCCATGTTTCCAGCATCTAGCAAAGTAGTTCTGACTGGTGGTAGGCCCTCAATAAATGTTTATTGGAATGAGAGAATGAGGAATGGTTTTGGCCTGTTATTTAAGTGTCTTTTTTGCCGGAATGAAACGCCTCTGTATTTCAAGAATTTGGTCACATACCTGATTGGCATATAGGGGATGTGTACTCAAAGATTTATGGCTTTCATTGTTGATTTTATGATTTTTAAATGCTTCAAAGCCAGAAATTACATCTGATCTATCTGGCTCACTGTTCTTCCCAGAGTGGAATGTTCACTGCCTGTTAGTTCATGTTGTCATCGTATGGAAGGAGATTCTTTGACTTTTCAGCAGATCTGAACATTTATTTCTTAAAATAGTACCTTCCTGGATGTAAAATGACTCCGTCAGAAATGTGATGGGTTATCGGAATTGTGGTACATTGACTTTCCAGAATGTACTCAAATGCTCCTCAAAATGCCTGTATGACATGGAGTAGTTCCATTGGAGGTTGGGGCTCCTTTTGTCAGCCAGCTGGGCTCTATGTCACCAACAACCAGGCATCAAATGGGAAGCTAGACATTTCTGATGGCATGAGGACTTTCTTTGTTCCTAGCAGTCAAAATTGGCTTAATGGTATTTTCTTATATGTTAGTTTTGATGTAGAACCTGCTAATAGAGTGTATTATTATAGGTCATCCAGGATGCTATTCAAAACCTGGATAAGAAGTTTAACGTCATGAATGGAAAAGTTTCAAAACTTTACCGTTTTCGTGCAAAATTAATCTGGCAAAATCGCGTAAGTGTCATAAAAATATTTTCAAAACTATAATAAACCTCTAGTTTCTGAAGATGTCTGTCAGTTAAAAGTGAGAGAGAACTAAGAAGTCTGTGAGATTGCGTGGCTGATCCATACCTGTAGGAGGAGATAGAAGACTAAATTTCTAGGAAGAATGCTGAAGCTTAGATTTGAGAAATGTATTGACAATGGGTATTTTTATGTTTGTATCCATAATGTATAAAATGCAATTAAAAGGTAGGGTTGAAGAGGAATAAAAGCCGTATAATCAAATAGAATATTAATCTTGAATAATAGCAAGCAATGTTGCATGGATAATGAATGTTGATGTATTTACTACTTTATTTCCTTTTTTGTTCACTCTTTGTTGGTTTATTCTGGGTTTGTGTCATTTCAGAAGCCACTTGGATATGCATACAAGCATTATAATTACCTGCTTTCTAGAAAGATGAAATTGCAGAAATTGAAGAAGAAGGATGTGCCTGATGTGCCAGCTGTGCCAGCTGTGCCTGCTGTGCCTGCTGTGCCTGCTGTGCCTGATGAGCCTGATAATATGTCTGATGGGCCTTTTCCCTCTTCATTGTCTCGTAGTCACAGTTATAGCCCAACCACGCCTGTAAGAAGGCCAATAGATTCCCAGGATAGCCCTCTAGGAACATACTACCAGTCACAGGATTCCCTTATCCAGGATCACCATTCATTCTATGAGGACCACGACACACACCTTAGCCGGAGTCCAACATTTCCACCCTACTCACCATCATATCCATCACATTACACATCCAATGATCTGGTGCAGGGCTCCCCATCCATGCCCTGCTTTGACAGCCCAAGGGCTCACAGCACAGCTAATGTTATCTCAGCTGTCCCAGCTTCCACATCAGTACCTGCAGCCATGCTGGGCCAAGGCAGGTCCAGTCCAGCATACAACCATGATATTATGGCTTACCCAGCTTTGCTGCAAAATGAAAGCCACGGCCATACTGCCACATCTCTCTGCATGCCAGCCGGCTTCGGTGAGTATAAAACAACACATATTACAAGTAGCACTGTTTAACCTATATTCCTTAACATCCTTGATGCTAGCTAGGGGAAGCTGTTCATTTTTCATATTTTGAGGACTAATTTTGGGTGATACTCATAATGATGACTTAACATTTATTAAGTATCTGTTATGTGAGATACCACTAATGAACTGACATGCCTCTTCTCCACTACTACTCATAATGATCCCATTGTGAGGTTTTTAATCTTTTTTTTTGTTACCCTGGGTAAATACTCAAAATATTCCTGAAATGGCCAGAACCCAGATGAGAGGAAAGAAAAAGTACACCTTTGGCTAATTCACACAGAAGAATGATCAAAATTGTGTTGATGGTTTCTTAGTTAGAGAAACGAATCTTCCTAGGGAATTATAAAACCCACTTCTGTTATCACAGACTATAGAGACTTTAGTGGTCTAATTGGAAAATATTTATCTAGACAAAGAAATTTCAGCACAACTTAGTGAACATCACAGCTAAAACTTTTTGAGGTATGAGCACTTCAGTTGTTTCATGCCTTAGTTATTTTTTCAACATATAAACCTTCAATCAAAATAGGTATTACTATGTAAACTCAAAAGAGGTATTGAATATAATAAAGTTACTTCTGACTAGCTAAGCAGAAAATAATCTTGTTTTCTTCAAGATTCATGTAAACATTTAAGCCTTGAGAAACAGGAATTTGAAAGAGTAAAATGATGCTTAAGATATCCATAATGAATAAATACATGGGAGAGATTCAGTAAAGAACTAATTTGGTTCTCAAGGAAATGGGGTTTTTGAAATTCATTGATTAAAGTGAATAAACTTAAGCAATTATAAAATTAAATTTGGGGAATTTCCATTCTATTTAACTAGTAAAATAAACCTAATCTACACAGACCAAGAGGAGATAGATTGAGAGAAATTCACTGAAATACTTAGTAATAGGTTAGCTTAGATTGACCTAATTAACCCAAATAACAGATCTTTTGCTGTATTTTTCTGTGACCAGAGAGACCTCAGAGTGTTGTCTCTTTTATGATCTTTGAAGCTTTCTAGTAACTTCTGAAGCTGCCTTTGTTGTTCGTGGGCAGTCAGATGGCTCACTTGTTGTGACCCATCCTCACATCACAACTTGTTGTTGTGACCCATCCTCACATCATCTTTAAGCTTTCGCCGGATGTTACACTTGGAGTCCTAGATCTATGCAGGGCTACTTAACAGATGGTTCCAGGAATGAGACCAGTACTCCCTACTTCTAATATCTCTTCTTTCAGAACAACGATCAAGTCAAGTGTTGGGTTGGACAAAACGTCTGTGTTTCTTCCATTAAAGACACATTTTTCATTTTCACCAATAACCTTACTGATTTGGATATTTTGAGTATGTCAGCTGTCTCCCACATGGTTATAATGTTGATTGTTCCCAACGTCTCAATTTGATCACTGTCAACTTCAACTGGTCTACCCAACTGCAGAGCATCATCTAGTGAAAAATCTCCAGCACGAAACTTCACAAACCACTTTGGGCACATTTGATAAGTGACAGAACCTCCATACGCTGAATAAATCTTTTCTTGTGTGTGTTTCAGTTGTATTTTTACCTTTCTTGAAATAATAAACCATAACATGCTAAAAATGTCACTTAGTTTCTTCCATCTTCAATATTAAAACAGCTACAGAAAAATTCACTAATTTTGATAAGTTTTTTTTAAATGCATGCTGAAAGTTTTTTTAAATGCTTGCTGATGTGACAGCTGTCACAATACAATGTAACAAAATTGTTTTGAATGAAGTTAAAGACAACTAAGTGCTCCTACAGCTGTCTTACAGAAGAAAACAAACGAATGTTTTTGCTAGCCCAATTTAATTTTTTTTCCCTATTGAAGCTACAGGTTCATCAGTTGGAAATGACCCAGGAGCACTACAATATCCCTACTATGCAGACCCTGCAGATTGGTCCGTAGAGGAAGTGATCCTGTTTCTGAAAGAAGTAGATCCTCAGACGCTCCTCCCCCTCGCCGACCTCTTCAGGGAACATGTAATGTGTCTTTTGATCTGGTTTTCCTGCCTTTGAACCTGCAGGTTCTTTAGTTGAATGCTGATCAGTGTGGATGGTGGGGGAACCCTATCAACTGATTTTTTCCTTATGTGAGAAAGGTTACTCTGCTCAAAGTTAGATCCTTAAGTAGTAGAGGCTGGATCTGTGCTTTAAATGGGTACCCGAGTACCTAAAATACTAAAAGTCTTCAAAGTTCTCAAGAGGAGAAGATCCAGTATGGTCACTCTCAGGCGTCTTCTCTTTTATAACAACAGCTACGACAAAACGTTATGTAGTAGCTGTTGTTACGGTGCCTGATGAATCCAGCAGCTGATTTCATTTGCTTAGTTCTGTTAACCTTATGTGGTTATTGATGGTTTGGGATGCTGATATTCTTGTGCCATTTACAAAGTAACACCATGGACTACATTTTTATAAGATCTCATTTCTTTAACTTCCAGTTTTACATAGTAGAAAAAGTAAGGAAGGTGCCTAATAAAGGCAGTACTGTACAGGATTTCAGATGCTTCAGCGGTTGATAAACATATATGATTCAGTAAATTTTTATTTTTAAACCAGATCTCATGAAAACCAAAGTATATTCTCCAGTGGCATCTGTTGGTTAATTAATATAATAAAGAATTTAAGGAGGTTGCCTGTGTCTATCACATCATATTCTTACAGTTCTTCATAATGGATAAATTTAGTGGCCACATATCTGATAAAGTCTTTTAAATATGATGTGAAAATCAATAATTAGTTTCAGCATCTTTTTAGCTTCAGAAAACTGATGAGTTTTCACCATAAACACAACACTGTATAGCACATTTACAGTTTGCATTGATGCTGACATACTCATATTCCCAGCCTTTCTAAGAAAGTTAATGACCATCTGAAATTCATTGCTACTATTCACAAGTTTTTATTCTTTTTGTCATAGCTATACAGGATTTTATTCTACATAAAGGATCTAAAATTAGGTAGTTTGACACTTAGGACATTTTTATGATACCAGGTTAAATTTCCTTTTTCTTAAAATTTGAAGTAAATTTACTAATGATCAAATGATGCTTCACCTGTACAGATTTTATCTTCAGTAGTTTTTCATCAAGCAGATGCACATTCAGAGAATATAGATCTGGAATGAGCTGCCCTCTAATTGATGTTGCATGTTATTATATATAAAGAAATGACCATTTTGATTAGATATGAAAGCATTATTAATTATTGTAATTTCTTCTCTCTGTAGGAAATTGATGGGAAAGCTATGCTGTTACTCCACAGTGATATTATGATAAAGTATATGGGGCTTAAGCTGGGGACAGCTCTGAAGTTGTGCCACTACATCGAAAAACTTAAAGAAGAAAAATGCATTGTTGACATTTGAGAAAATGTTTGTGTAGATTTAGATTGGACTTAATTCTGGGGAGACCAATGTTATCTTGGTATAAAGTCATTTTACTGCCCTTAGAAACTTTTGTGTTGTAGAAGGTTCCTCTAAAAGTTTGTTACATACAGAATCACAGAGCTACATTACAGTCCAGTCTATTTCAATAGAAAACATTTAGTGTATTATTATTAGCATACTCAAATGGGCAGTTTGTGCTTAATCTTTTTGTTGTTACTATTTTGTCGTTTACAAATATACTTGAGATAAGAAACAGAGAAATACCTTTGACTTGGTTAACGTTTATCTATAGAACCAAAACAGCTAAATCCCAAAGAGAAAGTATTAGGAATTGACAGGTTCTCTGTTAAAATCTATGAGAAGCTATCCTTAGAAGAAAATTTAAAGATGTAACTGCAGATATCATCTCGCAAATATTATATGTCTGTAATAGCAGTGTTCTGTTCATGTTCTACCAGTTTCCAGAAAGGGAATAGCCATATAACTTATTTTCCTTTTGTTATTGTTTCTCTTTATGTTTATTTATTCCTATTTAAAGAAAAAATAACCTTATAAGTGTTCATAAAGTGTTCTTACCAGTTCTTTTTTGGTAAGTTATAAGATAGATAGAATGGTTGTTTTATGCAATAGATCTTATACTACAGGGATGGTTTGGGTGCACTCTGGCCATATGCTTTTCCATTAAATAATGCTATTTTATAACTTTTAAAATATTTTGCCTAAGCTCTGATACTTAACCATTTATAGTTAACATCTCTCTCTGAAGGTGCCTATGTCCAAATTTTTAAAAGATGCATATTCATACTAATATTTTATTCTATATGTGAAGTTTACACACAAGTAAATCTTTTTTTATTTAAAGTGGCACTTTGCACTTCTACGGAAATATACATTGATCTATATATAGTGAGATGTTTTATTCTGCAAAAAATACGCACATCATTTGCCATCACTAGTACCTTTCAGCTCACTCTTTTCCACACAGGAAAGTTCTCTGTCCTGTGCAGTGTTTCTAGTTACTTTGCTTTCTGAGCCATTTAGTCTACTAAATTATGGAAGGTACATTAGTTCAAGTTTATCATTTTGGACTTCATTTTAAGTACTGGAAATTTCAAGCAAAACATGTTCATTGTTATTTTGTTATTTATTACACTGTTATGTTGTATAACATTTGTTGTAATGTTTATAAGCTATGAGAATTGGTGCTAATTGTATTAGCCATTTGTTGTAAATGCCAATAAATGTTTGCCAGGGGCCAGAATGTACATTTACGTTTTAGGAAACCAAGTGTCCTTTTATATTTATAAGCAAATGCAACTATTACTGGGCATATGTGATCTAAACAATGGTTTTATCTGTGTTATTCCCTCTGTGTTATAAGACATTCTAATTTGTACTTTTAATCTCTTGAATTATTTCAGTGAAGATGCTGTGTCCAGTTGAACAGTCCTCAGGTGTTTATACAAATACTATGTTTTTACAGTTCTCAGATTTTAAAATGTAATAAATAACTACAAAAACTAATATCAAAACCTCAGATGCGATTTACTTTCACCTTGTTACATTTATGTATTAATTGGTTATATTGAAAAAGAAGTGCTCTAGTAAGTTTGTGGTTTTATATGTCCAAATACTTGAGTTTTAACACTTGACCTCGTTCTGTGGGTGGACAGATTCCTAGGAGCAAAGACTGGTCTCTTGTGGGGCCCTTAAACGAGGCCCCAGGGGAACAGTCAGAAGTTAAATCAATGAGCTTCATCTGTGCTCAAGGCCTTTGTTACTTGCAATGTCACTGATGAAGCGAGCATGCTAGAAAATGCCGTGCCCCCAGATACCGTCCCACCTGAGTTCATACATCTGGCTGTCAATTCTGGCTGCTCCTTTACCACCGGGGCCAGAAGCCTACTGCCTCTCCGCCTTCAGCTCTCCCAGCTTACGTGGTGGGAAAGCCGTAGAGGCTCAGGGTTGTGGCCTTCCGAGCCCAACCCCTCAGCCCACCCGCCCCAGGAGCTGCTGCTCCGTGCCTGGAGCCCAGCAACTTCCCACTGTTGATTCTCAGCAGCCTGTCCCATCGTTCACCGGAGGAGTCAGCCATAGCAGGCTCCAGGGATGATCCTCAGGTAACTGGAATGGGGCGTCCATTTGCTGTCTGAGACTTGGGTGATTCAGAACCACTCATTCTTCACTGATGGTTTGTAATTGCTAGTGCAGAGAATATCATGGCATGTTAGCCTGCTGTGAACTTGCCAGCCAGCCCTTTTATTTTTTATGGTATCACTTTTGTTACCGGTTTTTTCCCCATTAAAAAGTCTGAATCTTTTGTTTAAATTACACTTTATTGATTATTCTATTCCAGTTGTGCTGATTTTTCCCCCTTTGCCCTCCTCCACCCAGCATGCCCCACTCCCTCTGGCAATGTCCGCAGCATTGTTCATGTCCGTGGGTCATGCATTTAAGTTCTTTGGCTACTGCGTTTCCTGTATGGTACTTTACATCCCCATGTCTATTCTGTAATTACCTATTTGTACCTCTTAATCTCCTTGCCTCTTCACCCATTCCCCTATACCCCCGCCCCCAATCTGGCAACCATCAAAACCCTCTATCCATGCTTCTGTGTCTGTTCTTGTTTGCTTTGTTTTTTTAGATTCAGTTGTTGGTAGATTTGTATTTTTTGCCATTTTGTTCATAGTTTTGATCTTTCTCTTAAATCCCTTTAACATTTCATATAATAATGGTTTGGTGGTGATGAACTCCGTTAGTTTTTTCTTTGGGAAGCTCTTTATGAGCCTTTGATTCTAAGTTATATCTTTGCTAGGTGGCCCAATCTTGGCTATAGGTCCCTGCTTTTCATCACTTTGAATACTTCTTGCCAGTCCCTTCCAGCCTGTAAAGTTTCTTTTGAGAAATCAGCTGACAGTCTTATGGGTATTCCCCTGTAGGTAACTAACTGCTTTTCTCTTGCTGCTTTTAAGGTTTTCTCATTACTTCTAACCTTTGGCATTTTCATTATGATGTGTCTTGGAGTGGGCCTCTTTGCATCCATCTGGCTTGGGAGTCCCCGTGCTTCCCGGACTTGCATGTCTATTTCCTTCACCAAATTAGGGAAGGTTTTTTTTTTCCATTATTTTTTCAAATAGATTTCCAGTTTCTTGTTCTTCTCTTCTCCTTCTGGTATCCATTTGATGCAAATGTTGGACTTCTTGAAGTTTTCCCAGAGGCTGCTTATACTATCCTTGTTTCTTTGGATCCTTTTTTCTTGTTCTGAATGGTTATTTTTCGCTGCCGTAGGTTCCATATCATTGGTTCTTGGCTTCGTCCATTCTATTTTTGTTTCCCTGTAAATTGTTCCTGTATTTCAATTAGTGTACCCTTCATTTCTGACTGGATCTTTTTTTATGCTGTTGAGGTCCTCACTAATGTCCTTGAACGTCCTTATCACCATTGTTTTGAACCCTGCATCTGATAGATTGCTCATCTCCATTTCGTGTAGCTCTTTTTCTGGACTTTCGATCTGTGCTTTCACTTGGGCCACGTTTCATTGTCTCCTCATTTTGGCAGCCTCCCTGTGTTTATTTTATGTATTCGGTAGAGCTGCTATGAGCCCCTGGCTTGGTAGTGTGGCCTAATGAGGTAGGTGTCCTGTAGGGTGCAGTGGCGCAGCCTCCCCTCGCACCCGAGCTGGGTACTCTAGGCGTACCCTTCCTGTGGGCTGAGCACACTCTCTTCTGGTAACTGAGCCTTGGTTGCTGCTGGCAGACCAATAGGAGGGATTTACCCAGGCTAGGCAGCTGCAAGGATTGGTTGTGACCATGGACCACCAACCTCTGCCCTCCGTGGAGGATCACGTGTGCAGGGGCAGGGTGGTGGTGCTCTGACACAGTTTGTAGCTGTCCACTGGGAGCTCTGGCCCTGGGGTTCCCGGGTGGTGCAGGCCACGGTCAGCCCCTGCCTGTGTTTTCCCCAGGGTCACCCTGCCTGGGCTATAAAGCAATCTGAGATGACCGCTACTTGTGCGGGGCTTGGAGATTCCCAGGTGAAGCCAAGCTGTGAATCGAGGCTGGCTGCTGCTAGTGCTGGGCCTGGGACTCCCTGAGGCCAGCTGGTGCTTGTTTGAGAGGATTTAGGAGGTTGTGAAGAGTGAGTCAAGACCGGCCATTCATAGGGGAAAGCAGCCTGGGTGGGCCTGTAAGTTGGGTGGGGCAGAGTCTCTGGGGATCCCCAAGGCGGATCAGTGTTAGCCAGGTCTATGGAGTCTCAGAGATGGCACCTACCCGCCAGCTCTGTGTGGGGAGGGTTTGGAAACGGGGCAGTGGCCTCTGCTCGCCTTGATGCCAGGCACTTCAGTTTGTCCCTGTGCACCACTGGTGCCTTTTAAGCTGCGACCCTGGTGCTGGAGCTCAGAGGGAGTAGCTCTGAGTAGGTGAGTCCATGTGTGGGTTCTTGAAGAGGAACTACTTGGGACTCCAGGAGTTTCTTCCACTGACTCGATCCCCGCTGGTTTTTGCTGCCAGAAGTTGTGGGGACTTACCTTCCTGGCACTGGAACCCTGAGCCGGGAGTCCCGGTGTGGGGCTAGGCCTCCTTGCTCCTGAGATATCCCTCCAGAACTTTAATCCACCGCACGTGGGTAAGGGACCAGCCTGTTCTGCGTGTGCTCCTCCTACCAGTCTGTATGGATGTGGTTTCTTTAATGCTGTAGTTGTCATACTCCATTAAACTTGATTTCTGATGATTTCGAGGGATGGTGGTTCTGTATTTTCGTTGTAACTTTGATGTGGTTGTGCGAAGTGGCAAGCCGTGTCTGCCTGTGCCGCCATCTGGACCAGTAGTGTGTCGATGAGTTTTAATGGCCTTTTTTTTTTTTTAAACCCGCTTATTATTATTCTATTCCAGCTGTCCCAATTTTTCCCCCTTTGCCCTCCTCTGCCCATCCCACCCCCGATTTCTACAATCTATCCCCACACTGTGGTCCATGTCTGTGGGTCACTCGTACATGTTCTTGACTAGTCCCTCCTCCTCCTCTTTACCAATATCTGCCTTCCCCCTCCCCTCTGGCCCCTTCCTGTCTGTTCCATGTTTCCATGCCTGTGGTTCTATTTTGCTTATTAGTTTATTTTGTTCATTCGATTCCTCTTATAGGTGAGATCATATGAACTTGTCAGGCTTTTAAAAAAATCTGTCTTCTCGTTTTGCCTCTCAGTCCATCCTTGGACACACTGTATAGACAGCAGATTCCAGGCACATCGAGCATTTGCTTTCGCCTGTGTGATTTCTGATGGTTGGCGGGTCTTATAGGACATGTTTCTAGAGAAGGATTTCCCAGACTTCGAAGCCCGGCCCCCTCTGTAAGCATGAAAAATCCATACCCTTCTGTGACATTATTAGGAATTAAAAATTCACCGTCACAACTGGGAACACGCAATGCCATTGGGAGGAAAAGCACTGCTTTTTCAAGCCGCAGAAGGGATCGTCCTCGCAGTTGGCTGAGGAAATGCAGTGCATTTACATTTCGGGGGCTGTTTCTACTCGGGATGCTGGGACTGGCTTGTAAATGTAAGCCCTGTGAGGCTGACCCAGGGAATGGGGGTGGCTCTAGGGGAGAAAACATGCAAACCAGGCCCCACCTTCATAATGCACAGTGGACGGTGTTCCTTCCGCTCCCTCCTGACCTGCCCCCTCTTGTCCTGCAGCTTCATGGAATTGAGCCTTGAAAGCACCTGTCCGCAGTGAGTGCAGACTCAGCTGGAGCTTGCCCATGCTTCCCACACACTCGAGGCAACTCTGGTGTTAAGGGCCCACGATCCCTGGCTTCTAGGGGCGCTATCATCCCTGGGGGGATATGCTTAATACATGAGGGGCCCAGCTCCTTCCCTCAAGCTGCTAGAACGTCATGGCGGTGACTCCACAGTCACGGAAAGGAGAGCCTCAGGCTGCTTAGGATACAGCACGAGTGTCGGCTCCCGGTGACTGTGAGTGATGTCATGATAGTTCAGTCATTCTGTGGCCTGCTCTTCAGCTGAATCACTGAAGTGCTTACTTAAGCCCATTTGTTTGGGAAATGGACCCCTCAGAGGCAAGGGGGTGGCCAAGGCAGGGTTACGGCCTCGGCAGGCCCCGCTCCACCTTTCTTCTCCCCACTCCGCCTGACTGAGCAGGCCTGGGCTGCTCAAGTCCCTTGATGTCAAGGTGGGGGGTCAGGGCAGGGGATCACGCTCCATGAGGCACCGAAGACAATCCACCAAGAGCGGGGTGAACACGTCGCATGGGAGATGTATACACGATGAGAGAAGTTAAGCTCTTTGACATTTAATGTATGGATTTACTAATGTAAAGTGTTCCAATATGCTGGGTGATGGTAACAGTTGGGACCACCCCAGCCCTTCCTAGTTTTCCCCTGTGCTTAGAGGCACAACGCCTGGAAGCGGCATTTTCCACTCTTCCTTACGGTGGGG